TTCATTATCTTTATACCATTTATGTGCAACTGATTCGACTAAATCTCGTAAATTCACCAAACCCATTCTATTTGACGAAGCAGGTGTACTCTAAATTGAAAAATAATACATAGACGAAAAAAAAGGAAGAAAAGCAAACATTTAAATCAAGCGTAAAATTAATAAGCAAGAATTCAAATTTGTGCATCTATGCGCATATTTTTTATTTTCGATCAATATCTACCTGCTCCTGAATAATAATTTCCATTGTTTCTCTCTGTGCATGAAATTTTCGTGATTGTTTCATACCCATTTTTATTTCGAACTCACAAAAAAAACAAATGACAACTAATATGATAATTTTGTTAAAATCATTATATATTATAACCAATCCGAAATAGAGAATCATTTTGTAAATGCCAGACTATTTTACTCATTCGATGGCATTTATTACTTGTATGTGTGTGTCTACACTTCCCTTAATTTTATCCTACCTCTCTCTCTCTCTCATCACATATACCACTCATCGAATCAAAATATGAGTTGATATATTCTCAAAAAAAAAAATAAATAAATAAAACATATGAATCAGACTCGAATAATAATCGATGGTGAAGTAACTCAAAACTATATATTTACAGAGAACAAATCAATTCTGTGGTATAAAAAAAAGAGTGAACATGATTATATTCTAATCAAAGAAGAACGAGAGAGACAAAAACAGCATGATGAAAATAAATTGATTTTCTTAGCTTGAATGCACAATATGATTGCTGTTAGCCATAAACACGCCTCCATTGTTTTCTTCTTAGGAACTTTCGAATGATATCGATCGAACTAATTTGACGGGCAGCTGCGCATTTATCGATCTGTAGAATAAGAAAAGAGAATACACAACAAAAACAGACAGACACGCATACATAGGAGAGAATGCAAGACTAATTTGATCGATCGATTGGCGTCAGTGCCAGCCCAACCTTCCCCCCTCTCCTTCTTTTTCCCTCCTTTCCTTCTCATCTCATCATCATCATCATCGATCGATCAAAATAGACATACAAACTATGCATATTTTTATGCAAATATATATCTAAGACAGAATTACAAAGTTCAAGTTGACGTGAAAATCGAGTATCATATATGTTCAAATAAGAGTATAGGCGCGTTTTTCCCTCTCTAATCATCAATAGAATTCATAAATATGTCGATACATTGTGTTTCATCATTGACCGCTCTTTCGATAAAAAACAAAACAAAATGTATAACATACTGATACGCTTTACATGTCTTATCTAAACGTATGTGTATATGTTTGTCTAGTTATCCGAAGTTCAGAAGTCTGTATGTCTTCTTCATAATGATCATGATCATCAATTGTTATCTCTATCAAAGTAAAGGAAAAAAAACAAAATGAACTAGTGATACCACTTAAAAGAATAGAAAATTAAACAAAAGAAAAGCAACTGTCACTTTCAAAAAAATAAAAGAAAAAGAGTATGAACACTTCAACATGGATACAATCATTTTTAATTTCTCGTTTTTAATAATTAGATATTGACACTCAATCGATCACACATTCATTTCATTTGTTCTATTTGACAACGGAAATCAAATTCGCCTGATATCTAATATAGTTGACACGTGTTCAATATATAGAAATAGAATAAATATACTTCGATTGATATATTTACAAGTAATGAAAAGGAGACAGAGTACTCGGACAGTGTCCTCGATCAACAAAATGAAAAGAAAAGCAATTCTAATTGAGTATGGCATAGATGCATGTGCTCAAAAATTAAATCAAATCAGTCAAAAAGAACAGCTGGTTAGCGTTAATAAAATTATTCAAAAAAAAAAATGCTCTTATATTCCTACTCGTCGACTTGTTGTAGAACTCTGCATATGAATTAAGTTAAATATGTATAAATTAAAAAAAAAAGTTTATTTTATTGTGTCTTACCTCGTCACCTTTACCATTGAAATGAATGAGATTATCAATAATGCGTGGCATTAAAACAGTTTAAATCTAAAATATCAAATTAGAGTCTCATTAAAAATAATCATTATGATCTTTTCATCATTGAGACATGCGGCGAAAGTTAAAAAAGCATATATTTCAAAGGCAAAAATGCACATTGAAATAACGAGAAAAATGAAAGTTTCTTTTTTTTATTCTTTTCTTTACTTACTTGCAATTTAATTTTTTTAAACTTATAACAGGTATAAAACGATTTCGTTTTCTTTTTTTTCTTTTTCTCTCTCTTATTGAATTTTAACAATTTTCTTATATTGACATCTTTTGTATTCATAGTCGATTCAAATATATTTATATTGATTGTTCAACGATTACGGATGATGCTAAACAGATTACATCATTCACTCCTTTTTTTTTCTTGTCTGCTGCATACCTATACTGAAAATATTATTGACGCTTTTGAAGCCTTAAAATCGATCATTATATGTAACAACGATGACGATGACGACAAAATGGTGACACTCATTCTTTTTTTTCCTACTAATATACATATTTGTGGGTGGCATTTTGATGATGAAGAAAAATGTTCACTGAGTGCAACAATAACAAGATTATTCATCACAGGCTTTTTTTTTCTTGCGTCTTTTTCTCACGACGTATGACTCTCTTCACAAGGATTTCAACTCTTCAAATCGATAGACTTACCATAGTACTCATTAGGATAAATATAGAAAATGTAAACGTGTGTGTATGTTCGTCTTTTTAAAACAAATGTATATGTGTACGTTTGCAGTTCAATGATTGCTTTTTGATGAGAGAAAAGAAAGAGAAACGTGCTGTTGCCGTCCAGGAGTTCATCTCATCAATAACTCATTTGTCACATAGACGATTCAATAACAATAATATTTCTTTATGAACAAAAGATGTCTGTTGGCATAGATCGAAAAAAAAATTTACATTGTACATATCAAAAGGATACTTATTTGAATATAAATATTCAAGATAGAAAAATGAAATAGGAGTAGTAGTAGTAATCTTAACACCTATATTTAGTTAAGCTTAAGTTTTTCGAATAATAATGATGAGACGATATGAATTAGTCGAGATTAAACAGTCAAATAGAGAGATATAACAAACTTACTTGAGACCGAATGACTTATGCCAAAAAAAAAAAGAACAATGCATGAACTATTCTTTTCTCTCTCATTTTCTTTTTCCTACTCCTCTATTCAACTAACAGTGACGTGAAACTAACCTCTCATTCTAATATTTCTCTCGTTATTGATTGGTTCATGTGAATACGAAGAAGAAGAAAAAAACGAGAGAAACTTAGCTGACTAACAAACAAGTTTTTCCTTCTTATGTTTAATAATATTAAGATAATAGATGTTTGATGTGACAAAATGATTCATCATACTTCATATATTGAACTTAAAAGAAAATGGATTAACTCATTAGAAAGTATAATTCTTTCTTTCTCTCTGTCTCTGAAAATAAACGAAAACGATTCAATTTTGATCGCTACTGAATGTTGTTGCCGTATCCTCCCTAAGGACATTGACTCTCTTTCACTCGATTAGTCATTCGTCCATATTGTCATCTATGCTCGCGGGGATTCAAACAACTAGAAAAAAAAATGAGCGTACGGCATGCAGCCAACAAACATTCTTCGCTTTTTTTTTCTTCCATTTCCCACACAAACATACTTGACTCCAGCGGAAATTGAACTCCTACTCATATAAACGATGAATCAGCAATCAACTATTTATAGATGAGTAAATGGAACAATGAATTGAAATGAAATGCAGTTAAATAGTCTCATTTAGACTTTCGTTTTCGAATAACAATATATGCATATATATATATATATATGTGCTCAAAAAACTATTAGTCTATATGCTTCAAATCACTCGACTCACCTTAATGTCATTGACAAAATACCGCAGCTTTATGTTCTATCGACAAGAATAACAAATTCGGAGAGCAGAGAGAGCAATTAACATGCAAGTGTGATGCTGATCGTAAAAAAAAAATATGAGAGAGAGAGAGAGACAGTCGACCTCTTTTACTTGTTCGTTGTCAAAACTTATCATCAATCTTTTTTTTTTTCTTCTGTCTTTATATAAAAAGAAAGCATACTTATACAAACACATACACATACGCACACATGTATACACAAAGAAAAGATAAGAATGAAGACAATCAAAAATAATCTTTATCGAAGTTTGAAAAAATTTTTTGCAGAAAAAAGTGTAGCATAACTTAATAATGTTGTCAATGTAGTAAATACAATAAGACATAAACGATCAAGAACCATAGCTGAAAATTTCCAATCTTGTGATATATCATCTTCATCTTCTTCTTTTTTAACATGATCTGTAAGTATTCGAAGTTCAGATATAATTGTACGCATTTCAGAACGAAATACACGCATATCACGTGGAAGTAATATTTCATTTGGATCATGTTGATGATGAGGATTTTTACATTTAGGTTGTTGACGTGGAACAATATGATTCATTATATTAGTTGGTAATGTATTACTTGAATAAATATAAGGTTGATCATCACTACTAGTTACATTAGCTAATAAAGATTTTGATGAATTAGCTAATAATGGTGTTGGTACGCATTTTTGATTACTTGTTATACTATTTTGTCGTTCAATTGTACGACGATGTTGAAGACGTATTGCTTTCCAACTTAAATCATGTTCTGGACGACCCATACATAAAAGCCATGCAAGATATTGATTGACATATACTTTAACCTAGGAAAAAACAAACGATTTTTGTTTTAATAATAAAAAACAAAAAAAAATAAAAAAATTTTAATTTGAAAATATCTAACCCACATCGGCATTGTATGACTTTTAGCATTACGATGATGAAGAACAAGTACAAGAACAGTAGCAATTACTGACATTGTACATAAACACATAACTGTTGCAAAATACATAACAATTGTTGGTAATGCTGTTGAACTGGCTGGTATAATGCCTGAGATTAATAAACTGAACATGACTATTGAAAGAAGTATTGTTATTTCTATAAAAAAAAAAAGTCAAAATAAAATGAATTGTTATGTATTACAGGCAAAATCTGCTTACGTAATGTTAATTTTTCACCGCTATCCGGTGGAAGAAGAAAGCCAAGTACAGTCATAAAACTAATGAGAACACAGGGTACTAAATAAAAGAAACATATGTTTACATTCTGTCAAGATAAGATCTTTGATCAATAATATCAGATTTATGAAATGTATTGATAAAAATCAGTTAAAAAATTACTAAAGAAATTATTTAATTATCGTTATTCATTCAAGTCGATTAGAAACCATAT